GTCTCTCATGGTCTGGTTGCTTCGATAAGCATTAAGTCTTCCATATTGGTCCACTTTGTACCATATGTCAGGGTCTCACTGCTTTTTTGTTTGTTTGTTTGTTTTGTTTTTATGGTTAGGTAGTATTCCATAGAGTACCTATGTCACATTTTTTCAATCCAATCATCTGTTTTGGACATTTGGGTTGATTCAGTGTCCTAGCAATTGTAAATAATGATGCAATAAACATAAATGTGTAAGTTTTTTTCTGACTGAGGGTTTTTCTATCCTTTGGGTAAATTCCTAAGAGTGGAATTACTGGGTGGTATGGTAGTTCTATTTGTGGGTTTCTGAGGAATCTCTATATCATTCTCCAAAGTGGTTTTACTAATTTGCATTCCAACCAACAGTGTAGGAGAGTCCCTTTTCACCATAGCCGTGTCAGCACTTCTTATTTAAAAAAACACTCAGCCATTCTGACTGGGGTTAAGTGGTATCTCCTTGTGGTTTAGACCTGCATTTCCCCTATGATAAAAACATGTCAAGCATGTTTTCATATGCTTTTGGGCCATCCATATGTCTTCTTTGGAAAATTATCTGTTTAGCTCATTTTCCCATCTTTTAATTGGATTGATTTTTTTTTTTTTTTTTTTTTTTTTGCGTTTCCTCTATATTCTGGGTATTAGCCCATTATCTGAGGTGTAGTTAGCAAATATATTTTCCCACTGTGAGGACTGCTGAACACTTACTTTTAATACAGATAATGAACATTTGGAAACTACTATTTTCAGTTTGCATAAGAACTAAGTGACTATGAAATAACTCTTAAACCCCTGGAGGGCTCTAGAGACAAGCACGTGACTTGTGACAAACCAACTGAATTAAGGCAGAGGTTATAGATTTTGGTATTACAGTATCTCCAATACATAGAGCTACACCTGGAATATAATTATTCACTAAATAGCTGTTAAATGAATAAACAAATTAGGGGATTAGAGAAGGATTTCTGTCACATGTTTGTTGTATGGCATTCACTGACAAAACTTCAACAGAGCTTGATGCCAGCACCTTACTCTTTGCTTGTGGGACCAATTTATCTTAGGTACTAGTACTAAGATAAATTAGTAACTAAATTTACAGATTGACTTTTTTGGAGATTATACTACCATGTATGAAACATGTAATAGGATTAGTACTTCTGTAAAATGCAGTAAATTCTGATATTACTTAAAATAAAAAATCGGCAACACTGACATAAGCAGGTAATAAATACTCTGTCGACTCAGCAAAAATGACACTGTATGACTAAAATATCTCAGTATATACAGTATTTTCTGAAATGATGTTGGAAAGTTTGGGAAATTATCAAATGTAGAGAAGTTGCGTTAAGGTTGTAAAGAGATGTAATTATGTATTTGTGTTTACATGCATTTCATACCAGGAAATGACAGCTGACATATTCTGCTAAAGGTGTTGTTTGTATAATTAGTTATCTTTTTATTTACGAAAATAAAATAATTTTACTGACAAAAAAAATTCCTTGGAAATCAGTCATAATTCTCTAGATCTGATGATGCTTGGATTTGATCATTTCTCTCTTATCTGCAGTCAGGTAAATCTCAAGTCACACATTAGCTTCTACACAACTACCAGAATCATAGGACCCTATGCTTCAGAAAAGGAAATTCAAAAGTTCAGACTGCCACGTAGTCTACACTAAGTAGTTATCTATCCTCTAGATATTAATTAGAACTCTCAGAGATCTTTTCTAAATAGGCCTGTTTCAGGTCATTTTTTCTGATCAGGCAAGATGAAAAATGCTTTTCTAAAACACCTATTTCTATTTTCAGATACCTCCCTTACAAACTTCTACAAATTGGCTCTCTGTTCCAGACTTTGGTACAAGCAGACTGCAGTAGCCATCTTCATTTATTTGATTGTGCAGCTTTTATTCAATACTATTTAATGAACCCTGTAAGTGAGGTGTTTGGGAGACCAAAACAAAAAGACAGACTTGTCATATACTCCTGGAACTATGTGTAGGAAAATGACTTTGGAATGTAGATTCATGGTGGAGTGAACACCACGCACTGAAGAATATTGAGCATGCGTGTGACATAACCAGATTGAGTGCTGGAAATATCACTCTGGGAGTGATGGCAGGCATAGCAAGGTGGTGACTCTTGACTTATTTCAAGTGCTATTAACAAGGCTATTTTTGTAGTTCACCCAAGAGAGAATGAGAACATGCAACAGGACAAAGGCAACAGAGAGAGGAGGATTGATTGCACAGGATTCTTTTCCTCTAGTTTCAACAACTGAGAATATTAGATCAAGATAATCAGGTTGAAATACATATTTAGAAAAATAAGTAGATATTAGCCAGTATCAAACACTGATGCCATCTTATATTATACCTTTGAAAATACTGATCAAGCACTTATACATGTTTGGGGTTAGGTTGGAGACACTAGGATGTATACACTGAATAAGACACAAAACCTTTCTCCGGGAGTCCACTTTCAGAAAAGAATCAGAGGTTCAGAGAGGTGATTATACCAGCATAGTACTGTTAAAAGAAGGGTTATAATGCTGGTAATAAATAGTCCCATCATAGCAAGAGAGGAGCATTTAATGTTTCAGTGAATACTTATGGGGAGCATAACGAATAAATAATCCTATCAGAAATGGCAGTCATTTCTTGCATAGTCTATAAATTATGGGAAATTTCAATACCTTTATTTTCAGTCCATTCTTTTTGAAAAGGAGTAGTTGGTGGCAGAGAGATATTATTGGTCACAACTGATAAGGAGAGGCATACACTCTAACAGAAAATTAAATCCATGAATAGAATAGGAGACTTCCCAAAATATTATTTACAAAAATCATCATGTTGTGAATCAAACTTCTATTTAAATTGCTTTCCCTTATTATTCTATTGAGGCTTCCTACTTAATGAGATGTCTGGCAGGAAAGATTTGGGGACCATTTATCCAAAATGCCAGAACTGCTTTCCACTTTGCTAAAATGCTAGCAAGAATCTTTGAAAGTGGCAACACATTTGCGAGACATCATTGTCAAATTTCCCCTAGAGGAACAATGTGAATAGATAATAAGAAAGCCGTGAATCAGATTGTCAATGCCAGGCTTGTGCTACTGAGTTTTCCGAACATGTTTCTAATTTTGCCATCACTTCTCCATTTTAGGATTGAATTCCACTCTTCAAATTCACTTTTTACAAATGCTAATTGCATGTGACCCTTTAATCTAGCATTCATCATATTCTGTCATTTGTCCTACCTCTGGATAATAAGTTTCTAAGAAATTAAATAAATTTAAAGATTGGCTAATCCAACACAAAACTTAACCAAACCAATTTGCCTGGAAACAGTTATTACAAATTCATTTCAAATGGAAAAAGAAATAACATACATTACTGCCGGCTTAGATTCTCTATTGGGTTATAAGGTCTCTCATCGTCTCTATGTACCTCTATAAAAGACTCATTATTTCTATATATCTCTATATATGACCATATTACACTAGTATTGTTCCCATCTCCATGTGATTTTTTTTTTTGCTAGAGTATGTATTTTTGGAGGGTATATACTATGTCATATTCATCTTTATATTTATAATAGTTGTATGATGAATGAATATCTAATGAATTAATGAATTCTTCCTGTACTACTTTTGTTCAGTCAAGCTAATTGCATGTGACCCTTTAATCTAGCATTCATCATATTCTGTCATTTGTCCTACCTCTGGATAATAAGTTTCTAAGAAATTAAATAAATTTAAAGATTGGCTAATCCAACACAAAACTTAACCAAACCAATTTGCCTGGAAACAGTTATTACAAATTCATTTCAAATGGAAAAAGAAATAACATACATTACTGCCGGCTTAGATTCTCTATTGGGTTATAAGGTCTCTCATCGTCTCTATGTACCTCTATAAAAGACTCATTATTTCTATATATCTCTATATATGACCATATTACACTAGTATTGTTCCCATCTCCATGTGATTTTTTTTTTTTGCTAGAGTATGTATTTTTGGAGGGTATATACTATGTCATATTCATCTTTATATTTATAATAGTTGTATGATGAATGAATATCTAATGAATTAATGAATTCTTCCTGTACTACTTTTGTTCAGTCAATGCTCTTTAACTTATATTAGTTACTCAGTTTTTGGACTTGCATAAGATTTTAGTTTTATAAAGTTATATATTAACTGAAAGGCATAAATACAAAATGAATACTGTGTTAGATATTTTTTTCATTATAAATAAATAAACGAATTACATTAGTAAGTTCTTAATGTGTTTTTGAAAAGATAATATTTATCTGAGCATTTGCATACTCTCAGAATTGTTTTTCAAACAGGAAGAAAAAAAAATTACCAAGTGTAAACTTGAAAACCTGTCATTAAAAAAAAACCCAAAAGTAACCTAGAGGAAAAATATGTGAAGGTAAGAAGAAAACAAATCAGTCAATGAAGCTTCCAGAAATAATATAATTATCCAGTAATCCTTTTCCAGTATTTAGCCATTTATTCAATTGCACTGTCTTTCAGCATTTTCTGAAGGGTAATTAGGTAAATACTTAGCAGCCTCAAAATAACAATAATAAAAAAAGGTATTCTGCCCCTCAGAGAAAATAAACAATCTAACAAGAGAAAGAATATTCAAGAAAAGAATAGTCATGTTAGATCTAAGGGGAGAATGAGCATAGAAGAAGCAAATAGCATAATTAACTAATTTGTCAGAATGTAAACCAGTGAAAAAAACGTATTTGTTCTTTAATCTGTAAATAAGACAATGGTTTAAGATAATTTGTTCTGTTTCCTCATGATCTTTGTTACCATTTACACTGAAAAATAGTGCCATATGAAACGTTGTCACTTGTCTATGAAGATGGTGCTATGACTCATCAGTAACAGCTACGAAATGGTTTTGTTTTAGCAGTAGGAAGGGTTGGCAATCAATTCACTCACAGTTATCAACCAGTTACCTTGCGAGCTATGGTGTATACTGGTAGGATGCAATTACAGCTGTAGTCAGTCAGTGAGCCTAAAACAAAAGAAAATAAAAATTAAGTGAGCGAAGGGCACATGCGAAGAATCAATCAGACTATAATTCCTACAAGAAAGACTGAACATTCAAACCTGACACATTAGCACGGAGCTCTGACCAACTAAACTAAATTGTCCAGACGATGTCAAATATAGATAATGCTTCTATATTTAATCCAGTTTTTAAAATGAGATGTTGTTATACCTTGATATATTTCAGAAAGTATCCCCAATTTCTGCTTAATGTACTGCCTTCAGCATGTATATTATAGGTATCAATAGGATATAAGACATCGGTCAATACTATTACTATGAAAAAATAAGATACAAATGCTTGTTAAGTCTCAACCTTAATTGGTGGAAAACACAAAATCCACATAATCTTTTAAATATGTTTATTTCTTAAAATTTGTTTATCTTTTTCTATTATAAGAAAAAGAGAAAGAAAAAGTTAGAGCAAGAGAGGCACTCACAGCAGAATCCTTACACTGTGACCTACCTATCTCCCAGCCTCAGCCACTGAGGATCACTGGCAGACACACATGCCTGGTATGTACAAGGAGGCCCTGGCTTCTAACCTAGGACCTTCCCATGTGAGTCCAGGTATGTTACCACCTAGCACTAACTCATGTAATATTTTGAGGGGTTGACTGACAGTCCATCCCAATTGCTGGCAGGTGAGTTTGGAGTCCCACAAAATAAACTCATTGAGGGACCAGCAGATGGCGTAATGGTTGTGTCACTGGACTCACACGTGGTTGACAGTGGTTCAATACCCAGACTCAGTGGTTTGAAACTCACGCTCAGCGTGTATGCCCAAAATCCTGAGCAGAGAATTGAGGAAAAGGGATTGCAGTGTGTCCATCCCCTCTGGGTGGTGATTTCTCACTTTCTGTCTCTCTGGTGGGTACATGTGCCCTATAGCAAAAATCTCTAAAAAAAAGAAAAAAACAAAAAAGGAACCATTAAATTTTGTGAACTAATAATGCCTCTGGTGGGATGTTGTGTGAGGTCTATTAAAATAATAACACTGGGACCAGCAGTTAGCATAATGGCTATGTCGCTGGACCCCATGTAGTTGACTGTGGTTCGAGTCCCGGACCCCATGGCTTAAACTCACGCCGGGCACCTGTGCATACATGCCCAAGATCCCGAGAGGAGAATGGAGGAGAAGGGATTGCGGCGTGGCCATCCCCCTTGGGGGGGATGATTTCTTGCTCTCTATCTCTATGTCTCTATTTTTCTGGCAAGCGCACACACCCTACAGCAAAAACCTCTCCAAATAATAATAATAATAGTAATAATAATAATAGTAACAGCAAGACCTAGAACAGATTTTGTAACCAAGAGTGAAGAGTGGTCATCATTGACTCAGAAACTATTCTATGCCAGTTACTGGGAGCAAAGGTATTCCTCATATAATATGTTAGGGTTGATCCTAATGAAAATATGTGGTAGTTATTAATTTTATTTTATATATAAGAAACTAAATCTTGGGGTAAAATATTTGCCCAGGACCAAATATATCAAAAGCTTCAGAATTTGATTACAAAGACTTCCTCTGAAGACAATTTTTTTTTTTAAATTGAAAATAAAAACAGACCCAGCCTACGTGGCACAGTTGGTAGCATGGTGGGCTGCAGTATCAGAAGCCACATAACTGACTGCAGGTTCAGATCCCCAGGTCAGCCTGAAAACACACTGAAGGCATGATGGGTGTCCAAGATACAGATAAGCTGGAGGGCTGGGAGAGAGGGCTCACGGATGGCAAAAGCCTGTCTGGGGTGCTTCTGTCTCTTTGGTAAGCATTCCAAGTGCTAGTAAAACAGTAAGTTAGCGTAATGGCTATGTCGCTGGACTCCCACGTAGTCGACCACGGTTCATGTCCTGGACCCGGTGGCTTAAAACTCACGCCAGGCGCGTGTGCGTGTGTGCCCAAGATCCCGAAAGGAGAATGGAGGAGAAGGGATTGCGGTGTGACCATCCCCCCTGGGGGGTGATTTCTCGCTTTCTGTCTCTAAGTCTCTCTCTGTCTGTCTGGCGAGCACACGCACCCTATAGCGAAAACCTCTCCAAAAGAAAAAAAAAGAATGAAAAATAAAAAAACAATAAGTTAACATGAAAATAATACAGCTATAATCAAATAATTTGTCTAGAATTCACATTGTATTAATAGGGATAGCTAGTAGTCCTAAAACTCAAGAGGAATAACATGAGAACATGGATTTTCATATGACCATAATTTGTGACCAAGTTTTACACATATTGGACACATTGACAGAAATACTTTTTTCTTAGTTATTTTAGCTTTATCTTAAAGATTTTGTTAAACTGGCAGAATTCATGGGCAGTTACAGCTTTCCAGTAATTCCGATGTTTTAAAAGATGGTTACTAAGAAATTAAACATCTGTTAAGCTAAAAATAACATTTCTTTCATTAATTATCCAAGACTTTTAAAAATGCCATTCTCAGCATGGGTTATCAAGATTCCTATAAATATAGATGGTCCAATATCCACTGAATTAAAGTGCATTCTCCAAGACCAATCAAAGTACTTCTGGTTTATCATTCTCTGCTTGAACAAACTTGTGAACATTATTTTATTTACAAATTAGGTGGCTACCTAGAAAGAATCAAGTTACATACAATGTACATTCTTCTATTATTTTTAAAAACATGTTTTATTTGATTTCATTCGTGAGAGAGAGTACACATGCAAGTAACATAAGAGAGTAAGATGGAGAGAGAGAGACACATACTTTTGACAGGGTCTATTTCACTGTGATCCCTTCCACACAGCTCTCTGGCACGTCTGGACCTTAGGCACATGCATACCTTGTATGTTTTTAGGCCGATCTGAAATCAAAATCTGTGATTGGCCATATGGTTTCCAGTGTTGCAATTCTTTAGACTATGCATTGCATCACTAAGGATGTTTTTCTTTTTTTAAGAATTATTTTATTTAACTTTATTTATTATTATTATTATTGTTTACCAGTTTTGTCAGACAGACAGAGGGAGAGAAAGAGAAAGTAAGCCATCATGTCCAGGACTTGAACCATGGTTGGCATGTGGGAGTCCAGCGCCTTTAACCACCACGCCACCTGCCAGCCCCAGGCTGGGTTTTTACTTTCAGTCATTGATGTGCATATATGCAAATGAATCACAGTGCAACAATAATTTCAAAAGATGATTGGAAGATTGAGCCATCATGAATTTAATTATGTTACTTACCATATTTTATTGTAAATGTCTTTTCTCCTCAAGTACAATATAAGCTTTTTAAGGACAGAGGCTATCTTTTTTGTCGGTGTCCTCAGTGCATAACACAACTCTGGCGTTTACTGACTACTTACTGAATAAATAAATGAATGGCGTAACATAAAATATCAAGTTACATAATGGCATCATAGGTTATAATCCGTGTTTGTATCCATGAATGCATCTGACGCCTTTCCACCCTGAATACTTGACAATACATCTTTAGCTCATCTAGGCATGAATTTTATAGAAGAAAGTTATATTTAATCATGTATAGATGAAATAGAATTATTACTCAAAAGCAACAAGGAGCCACCTATAGTGCCCATGACAGAAGCTGAAAGGAGTTGCCTTTTCTTGAATTCTAAGCAATTGTTGCATGCTGGTCCCTGGACAATAATGTAAAGCTGGCTAAGTTTGTATTTGAGATGATCTTCAACCTCTGTTTTTTGAACTCCTTTGACCTTTTGCCTTTGTTCCCTGGATCCAGAGCCTTTGGAATGTGCTCTGACTGTCAAAACTCTGATATTGTAGACAGATCTTAGCTTTGCCTCCATTCAAACTAGGTAACTGGTGTGGGTGTGAATTAATTTCTTTACACTTATTCCTTTCAGTATAAATATATAATAATAGTAATGTTCTTCTGAGAGGAATGGCATAGATCTATATAAAAGGAGGCAAGTGAAAATGCTGTATAAAGCATACAACATTACACATATAGTTGATGTTACTCAAAAGAGTCTCAAAATTAAGAAACTTCTAAGGCCCTCTCTGCCAGAGTATTTATGACCCCAATAACTCTGTTCTCTCCTTTATCCAAACCCCACTCTGTCCTTGCAATTGTTGGTACAGAAAATCTGATCACTGCTCAAATTCATTCACTTTAAGATAAATGACTAATAAACATAAAACCACCTTAGTTTATTGATATAAACTGTGATAGTGGGACCAGTGGGTGGTGTGATGGTCAAGGTGCTGGACACTCCCACATGGCCTACCGGGGTTCGAGTCCTGGATCTGGTGACTTGCTTTCTCACTTCCTCTCTCTCTCACTCTCACCCTCTGTCTCTCTCTGGTCGTATTAAAAAATCAATGAATGAATAAATAAGGCATAGATCTATATAAAAGGAGGCAAGTGAAAATGCTGTATAAAGCATACAACATTACACATATAGTTGATGTTACTCAAAAGAGTCTCAAAATTAAGAAACTTCTAAGGCCCTCTCTGCCAGAGTATTTATGACCCCAATAACTCTGTTCTCTCCTTTATCCAAACCCCACTCTGTCCTTGCAATTGTTGGTACAGAAAATCTGATCACTGCTCAAATTCATTCACTTTAAGATAAATGACTAATAAACATAAAACCACCTTAGTTTATTGATATAAACTGTGATAGTGGGACCAGTGGGTGGTGTGATGGTCAAGGTGCTGGACACTCCCACATGGCCTACCGGGGTTCGAGTCCTGGATCTGGTGACTTGCTTTCTCACTTCCTCTCTCTCTCACTCTCACCCTCTGTCTCTCTCTGGTCGTATTAAAAAATCAATGAATGAATAAATAAATAATAAAATAAATAGTTATTTAAAAAAAAAGAATGATTTAAACTGTGATAGTAGTTCTTCAAGATGCTGTTGGAGACAAGTCCTTTTGTTGTCTAATCTGAGTGCTTGCTAATCCCTACCCTAATAAACACAAGGGTCTGAAAGGTTACATCGCAGAAAGAAAAAATCTATTC